TGCACTGTTTTTGATCTAGCATTATTTGTACAGCCCGATAATCAAGGATAATTTTTAGTTTTTTTGGGGATTTTCTTCGCATTTTGGGTAGGACCGACTGGAATACTCACTCATACACATTTTTGGAAAGAAACAGTTATAATATATTACTTTGAAGGCTTTAATGCTACAAATAATCATGAAAATAGAAAAATTTACTAATATTAGTACAAAAACTTGGTCACAATAGTTCAAAAATCTTCAAATACAACTAGAAATTGCCTCTGAATTTGGTAAAATTTAGAATACTACTTTCCTTAGAGGAACGTGGTAACAAGATAAAAAGAGAAAAATAAAGAACTAAATCTAAGTCAAGTAGGAAAAATGGAATTCCAGTTCCAACACATGTCTTCAAAATTAACTATAGGGGAATTATCTCTAGAATTTGGTGAATCCAAGAAAGCTCTCTACTTGGTGGGAACGTTATAACAAAATAAATATAGGAACAAAATAGTGAACTAAAACTTAGTGACTTATATGCATCGGTTACAAACAAGTTTACTGTGCTGACCGCACACAAAAGAATCACATGGGTGGCATTTATTGTTGCACTTTCTGTCCTTACTTGCTACACAAATATGGCACCTTTTACGTTTTTTGATTTGTGGTGCATCTCCTACATCTCTATTTTCATTTGCAGCCCCTGTTTCGTAACCAAGAAGTTCTAGGACGATGCGAGTCTCGCGTCGAAGTAAAACGCAAGCATTTCTGACTTCTAATTGCGGTCTGATGAGTTGATCGACTAAATTACGTAGATAGATTCCTCTGCAGTTTTTGAGCCGGTGCCATTGTAAGGCAGGGTGCTGAGTTTCGAATATTCTAAAAGCGTTCACACGTCCTACATCAAGCATGTTGAGAAAAAACGCAAGGGGCCACCTCCGAGTCTGGCGCTTTGTGGAATAAGTGCGCACCATTTGGTCCATTGTGTCAACTCCAGTTTTAGTTTTATTATAGTAGATAATAATTTCTGGTTTTGACTTCAGCTCAGGAACAATAGCTTTGTCATCGTGTGTCGCTGAGATTAGAACTACGCTCTTATTTTTCTTGGGGACGTAACTGACCATTACAATGTCCTCATAAAATCCAAAAATTGAAGAATGTTTCTCGCGAGTGGGCCTAGGTTTCATAATTTCTGGAACATCTCTGCGTGATTTTTTGATTGTACCGACTAATGTCGTTCGATTTTGAGAGTAAAATTTGGCTAATGGAACACTCGTAAAAAAGTTATCTAGCGTGATATTGCGCCCCTCATTGAGCACTGGAGCTGATAATTCTCGACAAACCGATTCTGCCAAGCCAACCTCGACGCCGTCACCCTTTTTTCCGAGGTACAATTTTGCGTTGTAAGCACAAAAATCAGACTATATTTATCACAGATAACTTTTCTGATGCAATATTTGTTTATGGTTACATAACCTATAACATGCGAATCAAAACACACAGTGATGCCAACATCAAATGCACTGAAAAACAAACAAGTCGGTCATTTTGAGTTCACGAATGACGTTTCCAATGCTCATGCTGGGC